TGGTCTGGAACGCAGCACTCTCTCCAGCAGTCTCACATTGAGAGAACAGGGGTTGGAAATTAGTGAAGAGAGACTATTCTCAGCACTATACTCAGAGGGTATATCTACATTGCTCACTGAGCTCGGGCTCTGACTCAGGTTTGAGCCCAAGCCCTGATCCTGTCCACACACAAGTTAGTCAGACTTGGGTCAGCAAGCACTCAGGACTCGGATCCTAGTACCTTTCTAGGAGGGTGGGTCAGAGCCAGAGTCCCACTGTGACTTAGGTCCACACCCCGTCGTTTTGCAGTTACTCCTGGGGGAATTCTGCACCACTGCATGTGCGCAGAATTCATGTTCCCCACAGATTTCTTTGCTTCCCCACAGAAAAATGACTTCTGACGGGGAAGAAAAGGAAAGCTGCAAGAGTGATCATGCACTCCTCCCCAGAAGTTCGGGCGTGTTGTTTCTGGTGCCTGGAGTTGCTACCAGAGAAGTAAATCCTGGCAGTGGGGGGCAGAGCTGGAGATGCCCCGGCTGGTGGCTTCTACCCTGCACTGGGCTCAGCTGCTAGTCCCAGCTGGGCTGGGGAGGATGGGATTTTCTCTTCCCCTGGAAGGCATGGCTGGGGAGGAGGGAGTGATGAAGCTAGCAAACTGGGGCAGGGGAGCCAGATGGTAAGGAAAGGGCTCAGGGAAAGGTAGTAAGCTCCAAGGGGGAACAGGTCTGGCCTGTTGGTTAGAGGGTCCCTGAGCTGGAACCCATAGTAGAGTGCAGGCCTGGGTTCACCTGCCAGCCACTGAGGGAGTAGCACTATGCAGCAGTGACTGGGAAGACTGCCTGAGACTCCTGGTTAGGAAAGACTACTGCCCAGGATTGCTGAAGGAAGATTTTGATACTCCAGAAGGAGGAAATGGATAGTGAGCTGCCTGGGGGGCTGAGTCACGAAGAGGAGGCTGCAACTCATGGAGCGAAAGAGGGGCTGCAGACTCAGAGAGAGAGGAGGAGAGACAGCATGCAAGGGGTGTCAACATCACAAGCTATTCCCAGAGTGACCAGGAGGAGGTGCCATCCTTGAGGTGCGTCAAGCACCCCATCACAGGAAGGAATCATTCTTAAAACCACTCTGCCTTGGTGAAACACCAAGGAAGTGACGAGATGCTAGGCCCAGACACCAAGGTCATGGGTGAAAAAATTATATAGATACAACAGCCACCTCCCGAGCCCTCCTCATGGAAACTATGGCAACCAAGGTAAAATCTATGTATTGACAGTCACATTAAGATGGAGCTCAGAGGATCAAAGGAAGATTGGTGAATGGACCAAAGTGTCTCCAGGTGAGAGCAATGTGTCTACCTGGGGCTCTTATAACTGGCACATTCCTTTTAAAAAAATAGCAGTTAACGGTTGCCCACTTACTAGGGGTATGTCTACACTACGGAATAAGGTCGAATTTATAGAAGTCGGTTTTTTAGAAATCGGTTTTATATATTCGAGTGTATATATATATTTTATATATTCTGTCCCCACAGAAAATGCTCTAAGTGCATTAAGTGCATTAACTCGGCGGAGCGCTTCCACAGTACCGAGGCTAGAGTCGACTTCCGGAGCGTTGCACTGTGGGTAGCTATCCCACAATTCCCGCAGTCTCCGCTGCCCATTGGAATTCTGGGTTGAGATCCCAATGCCTGATGGGGCTAAAACATTGTCGCGGGTGGTTCTGGGTACATATTGTCAGGCCCCCCTTCCCTCCCTCCCTCCGTGAAAGCAAGGGCAGACAATCGTTTCGCGCCTTTTTTCCTGAGTTACCTGTGCAGACGCCATACCACGGCAAGCGTGGAGCCCGCTCAGGTAACCGTCACCCTATGTCTCCTGGGTGCTGGCAGACGCGGTACGGCATTGCTACACAGTAGCAGCAACCCCTTGCCTTGTGGCAGCAGACGGTACAGTACGACTGGTAGCTGTCATCGTCATGTCCGAGGTGCTCCTGGCCACGTCGGCTGGGAGCGCCTGGGCAGACATGGGCGCAGGGACTAAATTTGGAGTGCCTTGACCAGGTCATTCTCTTTAGTCCTGCAGTCAGTCCTATTGAACCGTCTTATGGTGAGCGGGCAGGCGATACGGACTGCTAGCAGTCGTACTGTACCATCTTCTGCCGAGCAGCCATGAGATGTGGATGGCATGCAGTCCTTCTGCACCGTCTGCTGCCAGCCAAAGATGTAAAAGATAGATGGAGTGGATCAAAACAAGAAATAGACCAGATTTGTTTTGTACTCATTTGCTTCCCCCCATCCCCTGTCTAGGGGACTCATTCTTCTCGGTCACACTGCAGTCACTCACAGAGAAGGTGCAGCGAGGTAAATCTAGCCATGTATCAATCAGAGGCCAGGCTAACCTTCTTGTTCCAATAAGAACGATAACTTAGGTGCACCATTTCTTATTGGAACCCTCCGTGAAGTCCTGCCTGAAATACTCCTAGATGTAAAGCCACCCCCTTTGTTGATTTTAGCTCCCTGAAGCCAACCCTGTAAGCCGTGTCCTCAGTCGCCCCTCCCGGCGTCAGAGCAACGGCAAACAATCGGGCATCTGAGAGTGCTGTCCAGAGCAGTCACAATGGAGCACTCTGATGGGGCTAAAACATTGTCGCGGGTGGTTCTGGGTACGTATCGTCAGGCCCCCCGTTCCCTCCCTCCCTCCGTGAAAGCAAGGGCAGACAATCGTTTCGCGCCTTTTTTCCTGAGTTACCTGTGCAGACGCCATACCACGGCAAGCATGGAGCCCGCTCAGGTAACCGTCACCCTATGTCTCCTGGGTGCTGGCAGACGCGGTATGGCTTTGCTGCACAGTAGCAGCAACCCATTGCCTTCTGGCAGCAGACGGTGCAATACGATTGGTAGTCGTCCTCGTCGTGTCCGAGGTGCTCCTGGCCACGTCGGCCAGGAGCGCCTGGGCAGACATGGGCGCAGAGACTAAATTTGGAGTGACTTGACCAGGTCATTCTCTTTAGTCCTGCAGTCAGTCCTATTGAACCGTCTTATGGTGAGCGGGCAGGCGATACGGACTGCTAGCAGTCGTAGTGTACCATCTTCTGCCAGGCAGGCAAGAGATGAGGATGGCTAGCAGTCGTACTGTACCATCTTCTGCCGAGCAGCCATGAGATGTGGATGGCATGCAGTCCTTCTGCACCGTCTGCTGCCAGCCAAAGATGTAAAAGATAGATGGAGTGGGTCAAAACAAGAAATAGACCAGATTTGTTTTGTACTCATTTGCCTCCTTCCCTGTCTAGGGGACTCATTCCTCTAGGTCACACTGCAGTCACTCACAGAGAAGGTGCAGCAAGGTAAATCTAGCCATGTATCAATCAGAGGCCAGGCTAACCTCCTTGTTCCAATAAGAACGATAACTTAGGTGCACCATTTCTTATTGGAACCCTCCGTGAAGTCCTGCCTGAAATACTCCTTGATGTAAAGACACCCCCTTTGTTGATTTTAGCTCCCTGAAGCCAACCCTGTAAGCCGTGTCGTCAGTCGCCCCTCCCTCCGTCAGAGCAACGGCAGACAATCGTTCCGCGCCTTTTTTCTGTGCGGACGCCATACCAAGGCAAGCATGGAGGCCGCTCAGCTCACTTTGGCAATTAGGAGCACATTAAACACCACACGCATTATCCAGCAGTACATGCAGCACCAGAACCTGGCAAAGCGATACCGGGCGAGGAGGCGACGTCAGCGCGGTCACGTGAGTGATCAGGACATGGACACAGATTTCTCTGAAAGCATGGGCCCTGCCAATGCATGCATCATGGTGCTAATGGGGCAGGTTCATGCTGTGGAACGCCGATTCTGGGCTCGGGAAACAAGCACAGACTGGTGGGACCGCATAGTGTTGCAGGTCTGGGACGATTCCCAGTGGCTGCGAAACTTTCGCATGCGTAAGGGCACTTTCATGGAACTTTGTGACTTGCTTTCCCCTGCCCTGAGGCGCATGAATACCAAGATGAGAGCAGCCCTCACAGTTGAGAAGCGAGTGGCGATAGCCCTGTGGAAGCTTGCAACGCCAGACAGCTACCGGTCAGTTGGGAATCAATTTGGAGTGGGCAAATCTACTGTGGGGGCTGCTGTGATGCAAGTAGCCCACGCAATCAAAGATGTGCTGATATCAAGGGTAGTGACCCGGGGAAATGTGCAGGTCATAGTGGATGGCTTTGCTGCAATGGGATTCCCTAACTGTGGTGGGGCTATAGACGGAACCCATATCCCTATCTTGGCACCGGAGCACCAAGCCGCCGAGTACATAAACCGCAAGGGGTACTTTTCGATAGTGCTGCAAGCTCTGGTGGATCACAAGGGACGTTTCACCAACATCAACGTGGGATGGCCGGGAAAGGTGCATGATGCTCGCATCTTCAGGAACTCTGGTCTGTTTCAAAAGCTGCAGGAAGGGACTTTATTCCCAGACCAGAAAATAACTGTTGGGGATGTTGAAATGCCTATATGTATCCTTGGGGACCCAGCCTACCCCTTAATGCCGTGGCTCATGAAGCCGTACACAGGCAGCCTGGACAGTAGTCAGGAGCTGTTCAACTACAGGCTGAGCAAGTGCAGAATGGTGGTAGAATGTGCATTTGGACGTTTAAAGGCGCGCTGGCGCAGTTTACTGACTCGCTTAGACCTCAGCGAAACCAATATTCCCACTGTTATTACTGCTTGCTGTGTGCTCCACAATATCTGTGAGAGTAAGGGGGAGACGTTTATGGCGGGGTGGGAGGTTGAGGCAAATCGCCTGGCTGCTGGTTACGCGCAGCCAGACACCAGGGCGGTTAGAAGAGCACAGGAGGGCACGGTACGCATCAGAGAAGCTTTGAAAACCAGTTTCATGACTGGCCAGGCTACGGTGTGAAAGTTCTGTTTGTTTCTCCTTGATGAAACCCCCCGCCCCTTGGTTCACTCTACTTCCCTGTAAGCTAACCACCCGCCCCTCCTCGCTTCAATCACCGCTTGCAGAGGCAATAAAGTCATTGTTGCTTCACATTCATGCATTCTTTATTCATTCATCACACAAATAGGGGGATGACTACCAAGGTAGCCCAGGAGGGGTGGTGGAGGAGGGAAGGAAAATGCCACACAGCACTTTAAGCACAGCACTTTAAAAGTTTACAACTTTAAAATTTATTGAATGACAGCCTTCTTTTTTTTGGGCAATCCTCTGTGGTGGAGTGGCTGGTTGGCCGGAGGCCCCCCCACCGCGTTCTTGGGCGTCTGGGTGTGGAGGCTATGGAACTTGGGGAGGAGGGCGGTTGGTTACAGAGGGGCTGCAGTGGCAGTCTGTGCTCCAGCTGCCTTTGCTGCAGCTCAACCATACACTGGAGCATACTGGTTTGGTCCTGCAGCAGCCTCAGCATTGAATCCTGCCTCCTCTCATCACGCTGCCGCCACATTTGAGCTTCAGCCCTGTCTTCAGCCCGCCACCTCTCCTCCCGGTCATTTTGTGCTTTCCTGCACTCTGACATTATTTGCCTCCACGCATTCGTCTGTGCTCTGTCAGTGTGGGAGGACAGCATGAGCTCGGAGAACATTTCATCGCGAGTGCGTTTTTTTTTCTTTCTAAGCTTCACTAGCCTCTGGGAAGGAGAAGATCCTGTGATCATTGAAACACATGCAGCTGGTGGAGAAAAAAAAAGGGACAGCGGTATTTAAAAAGACACATTTTATAAAACAGTGGCTACACTCTTTCAGGGTAAACCTTGCTGTTAACATTACATACATAGCACATGTGCTTTCGTTACAAGGTCGCATTTTGCCTCCTCCCACCGCGTGACTACCCCCTCAACCTTCCCCCCTCCCTGTGGCTAACAGCAGGGAACATTTCTGTTTAGCCACAGGCAAACAGCCCAGCAGGAATGGGCTCCTCTGAGTGTCCCCTGAAGAAAAGCACTCTATTTCAACCAGGTGACCATGAATTAGATCTCACTCTCCTGAGGATAACACAGAGAGATAAAGAACGGATGTTGTTTGAATGCCAGCAAACATACACTGCAATGCTTTGTTCTACAATGATTCCCGAGTACGTGTTACTGGCCTGGAGTGGTAACGTGTCCTACCATGAAGGACGCAATAAGGCTGCCCTCCCCAGAAACCTTTTGCAAAGGCTTTAGGACTACATCTAGGAGAACCGCAAATGCCAGGGCAAAGTAATCCTTTCACATGCTTGCTTTTAAACCATGTATAGTATTTTAAAAGGTACACTCACCAGAGGTCCCTTCTCCGCCTGCTGGGTCCAGGAGGCAGCCTTGGGTGGGTTCGGGGGTACTGGCTCCAGGTCTAGGGTGAGAAACAGTTCCTGGCTGTCGGGAAAACCGGTTTCTCCGCTTGCTTGCTGTGAGCTATCTACAACCTCCTCCTCCTCATCATCTTCTTCGTCCCCAAAACCTTCTTCCGTATTGCCTCCATCTCCATTGAAGGAGTCAAACAACACGGCTGGGGTAGTGGTGGCTGAACCCCCTAAAATGGCATGCAGCTCATCATAGAAGCGGCATGTTTGGGGCTCTGACCCAGAGCGGCTGTTCGCCTCTCTGGTTTTCTGGTAGGCTTGCCTCAGCTCCTTCAGTTTCACGCGGCACTGCTTCGGGTCCCTGTTATGGCCTCTGTCCTTCATGCCCTGGGAGATTTTCACAAAGGTTTTGGCATTTCGAAAACTGGAACGGAGTTCTGATAGCACGGATTCCTCTCCCCAAACAGCGATCAGATCCCGTACCTCCCGTTCGGTCCATGCTGGAGCTCTTTTGCGATTCTGGGACTCCATCATGGTCACCTGTGCTGATGAGCTCTGCATGGTCACCTGCAGCTTGCCACGCTGGCGAAACAGGAAATGAGATTCAAAAGTTCGCGATTCTTTTCCTGTCAACCTGGCCAGTGCATCTGAGTTGAGAGTGCTGTCCAGAGCGGTCATAATGGACCACTCTGGGATAGCTCCCGGAGGCCAATACCATCGAATTGTGTCCACAGTACCCCAAATTCGAGCTGGCAACGTCGATTTAAGCGCTAATCCACTTGTCAGGGGTGGAGTAAGGAAATCGATTTTAAGAGCCCTTTAAGTCAAAATAAAGGGCTTCATTGTGTGGACGGGTGCAGGTTTACATCGATTTAACGCTGCTAAATTCGACCTAAAGTCCTAGTGTAGACCAGGGCTAAGTGCCCTGATAATCTCCTCCCAATAGTGACAGGAGCAGAGACATCATTTCTTCTAAACTTTTGTGCACCCTGAAAGAGCCAGCCCCATCCAAACAGGTTGGCATCTGTGATCATCACTCTACATCAGTCAGGCTCCAATAGAGAGATCCCTGTTAATGAGGGACTCTGAAAATTACCAGGTCAGAAAGGGTTTTACAGAGAGGAAAATGGGAAGGGATTTGTCCAGTGCTTCTGGTGGGCTCCAGAGAGGAAAGGGGACAGCTAAAGAGCTCTAGCCCAGGGGACCATCCTTGTTTTCAGGACATCAGAAAACCCAACGGGCGTTCTCCCTTTCTGACAGGGCAGCATTGTTGGGACTGAAACCTTAAAGCAACTTCTATTATTTCTGTTCACTGCTCTCTCCTGTGATTGAGACGCTGCCCTCAGCAGCGCTGAGATGGATTCTGAGGTGCAACCAGGTCATGGGCAGCTGAGACTTCAGCACACATTCACTTCCAGTCCAAGTCCACAAAACAGTTCTGGTGCCCAGTTCCACAAAACTCACTTTTAGATAGTCTTAGCCAAAGGAGAACTTTGGGGATGCCCCAACTCTGTCTTCCTCCCCCTGCCATTCATCTAGTTAGTATGTCTTTCCTCTGGAGCCCAGTTTTCTTGTTCATTGTAGTTTGAGCTTCCAGAAAAATTAAGGTCTGGCTATCAGACAGTGAACAAGATCTTTAAAAATCTACCTTTCCATTCTAGTTGGTTTAACTGGAATCATGTTTAAAAGTTTTGTGCTAATCTTTTCTCTTTGTTCTGGATTAATGAAGTTTCAACTGGCTTTGTGTATAATTAAAAAAAAGTTTACAGAGAACTTTTAAAGCATATTTAGACATAAGCAGTATTATATGGACTGTAAAGGGGAGATACATTTCTGACTCAAAATCAGTAGGTCCATTCTCTAGTAGAAGAGGGAGATGGGGTGGAAGAATTCTCCTCTTGTCAGACCCAGTGGTTGATTTTTAGCATTACTTAGAAAGCAAATATTTAAATTCAGTAGCTTTCATATATTTCACTTCCTTCCCTGACATTTAATCTTTCCACAGGGAATTGTTTTAGTTCAAAATCATATCCATTTTTCTCACTCAGCATGGGGAAGTTCCAAATTTGACTTCAGGCCTTTTCTTACATCATGGTATTGTTTAGAATAGCTGGACAGGTGGAAATTAATTTTTGGTCAGATATATAAAAGTATGAAAATATTGGTTGTACCAGGCTACAGAGAGTTTATTTCAATGTTTAACAGGTGCAGATATTCACAATATATTTAACATGTACATTTTAATCAGGAGCTTTTTGAATGACTTAATAGCTGAGGAATCATTATATTGGTATGGTCAACCATTTACTATAGATAGTTGAATAACTTCTCAGGAATTCAGATGTGACATAATAGTGCACAAAATAGAATACACTTTCTTCATACAACTCATATAAGCCCAAGCTTTACATTACCAAATAGGCTATACAGAGGGTTTTGATAGTGCCAATTTTTCATATAAAATTACACAGAATAATTATTGATGTTAATACCTTATTATATGGGGAAAACTCCCTCTATCATTATTGGGTAGAATAGTTGTAATATCCTGCCCAAGATATTATATCCCATCCAGATGTATCCTTTTAATTTAAATAACAATCTTTTTGTTAACTTTTATAGAATTGTCACTGATTTCTTATGGAGGGGTAAGAAATCACATGTTGCTTTAAATAAATTCAGGTTTCAGAGGGGTAGCCATGTTAGTCTGTATCAGCAAAAACAATGAGGAGTCCTGCATCTATTGAAGTGGGTTATAGACCACGAAAGCTTATGCCCAAATAAATTTGTTAGTCTCTAAGGTACCACAAGGATGCCTTGTTGTTGTTTTATAAATAAATTCAGTTGCCCAAAAGAGAAGGGTGATATTGGGCTGATTTCAAAAAGTACTTTTAGGCGATCCTTCTAGAATACATTGCACATTAGACTTAAGAGCCAATGGATAGCACTTGACTGGGAATAAAATAACTTACACCTCCTCCAGCTGCTTTAATAAAGACTGGATTTTGTAAGAGTGATTATTTGTATGTTCCAGCTGTGAACCATCCCTATATACAAGGTACAATCAAGATGTGGAACAAGATGAGAAAGGCCTCTGAATAAGATATAAAACTTCATGGGTGCGGTCAGTATTAGGAGATCTGGGTTTCTCACAAAGACAAATTGATCCTGCATTCCAAACATGGACAAATTTGGAACTCTAGACCGTAGACGGTATTGCACTGTGGAATAAAATAAAAAGCACAAATAGTAGAATGCCCATATATACAACAACATGGGATTTTAAATAAGCACAAGCAACACTATCTACAGCTCAGAAGCCACATTTTAAAACATTTCAATACTAACAAAGGCCTACAGGAACAAGTGTTGTAATATCAGCTTTTTAATACAACCCATGAAGGTTTATATCAGCAGCTTATAATGTACAAATTAACCTATCACAATGATACTTTGGAATCACCCTTCAGAATAAAGATGTAAACACCAAATTTAACCAAAAGCCATGGTTGGAAGCTATATAGAACACATACTGTATTTCCAGAAATAAAACACTTACGCAAACCCAGATCTGCAAGGCTTAAATTGGTTATTCATTCCTGTTTCCCAGTTCCTTATTCAAAGGAACACAATAAAAAAAATTTTAAATTTTAATTTTTAGAAATTTCATGAAAATAAATAAGACTGAATTTTATAGCAATATGCGTGTTTTTAAAGACAGGCCTTTCTGAGATGAAAGCAAGACCCCTGTCCCACACGTGTAAATTGCCCCTTTCTTTGAATCAGTAACTGAGATTTGATTATATTTATAAAGGACAAAATCTTTTTCAGGTCACCCCAAGTGACATGTCCCTGTGACTATTAGACTGTTTTGAAATGGCTGGCACATGCCACTCCTAAACCCAAAGCTTTATATTTACACAATATGGTGCCACATGACACTCTCCATCCCATCTTCCATTCTGCAAATTCTCTTTTGAACAAGAATCTGTCTTAGACTGGCCAAGTATACAAGTAAATACTTCTATTATTATATATGACTATTTATTAATTTATTTTAAATATTAATGCTACATTCAAATGACATGGAAAAGAACAAAGAAAGCAGATGACAGTTTTTTCTGGGGTTGGGCATTTCATTCTCTGAATGGTATTTGAAAAGATGCAATCCAGTACTTTGACAGAATAAACAAATTGCATCTTGTTTTCCTTCAGTTTACCTCTTTATCATGCACAGAAGTCTCCAGGGGAAATAGCCAAAGTCCAAATAAAAATCATTCAGTTTTTCTGGGACCAGACTCAACTTCAAATATAATGTGAAAGATGCCTGATTCACCATGAATTAAATGATGTTTACTCAACTGACAAACCATTGCACTTGTTTGCTTTGATGCTGGAACTGTAAAATAAGATGCACTTATTTAGTAATATAAGACAGAATATTAATTGAGGACTTGTTCGTTTTGTTGTTAGTGCTGACTGTTCCTGACACATTCCTAAGAATTTACATCAGAAGACTGTGCTTTGCACAGAACGGAAATTTCATCATGGTCTAGAATTCCTGCATAACTTGGTGTTGTCTACCTGTCCATAAGGAAGGTTGTATGATCTGTTTTCCTGACACAACCAACTACTACACAAAACATTCACCGGGAGGAAAGGAACTAGTGAAGGGATGGGCACAGGAGTGCCAGAAGTTCTTTTCCATGTAACTAGAATGTAACAATATTTAAAATAAATGTTTCAAATATTGATTAGTTTAATAGAGGACCTCAGAATTGTTTGCATAAAAAAGAAGAATTTAATTAAGTAAAGGTCCTGTCATTAGTTATAAAGTTGCTGGGATAACTCACGTTTCCATAAGCCTGGTAACACGGACCACTGGTGTTTCTATGATGGTGGAGTTGAGGTGTGACACGTGGCACTATACTGTGCAGAAATAACACTTTGGGGGCAGGGAGTGGCTTGTGCCAGCGACTTCAGAACAGTCTAACAGTCACAGAGTCAGTCACTTGGGAAGACCCGAGAAGGATTTTGTCATTTACACATCTTCAAATCTCAAATAAAAGCGGCAATGAGTCCTGTGGCACCTTATAGACTAACAGATGTATTGGAGCATAAGCTTTCGTGGGTGAATACCCACCTTGTCGCATGCATGTCATGACGAAGTGAGTATTCACCCACGAAAGCTTATGCTCCAATACGTCTGTTAGTCTACAAGGTCCACAGGACTCTTTGCCCCTTTTACAGATCCAGACTAACATGGCTACCTTTCTGATAAATCTCAAATAGTTATTCAGATTAAGAGGCAATTATGCTACAGAAGTTTGGGGTCATCTCAGAAAAGTATATTCTTAATAACATGAATATATATTGTTATACAAGTCAATCTCACTATTTTGGTGAAATTTCTAAAGATGTATACTTGTACTGTTTTTTTTTTTGTTTTTTTTTAAAAGCGTGCCTTTTAATAAGGAAGGGGGACAAAGGAATCAACTTCAGCCTCCTCCCAGGATCTTTATAGGCCTTAGGAGCTTTATTTCTCCTAAACTACGAGACAATATGCCCAAAAGAGCATTTGCAATAAGTGTAAATTACAAGGTTCCTTCTATTTTCATGCCATATGGTCATATCCACCAACACAAACCTTTTGGCCAGAAGTAATACACACAATAAAGGAGGCGCTGTAAATTGTTGTTCCTACACAATGGCGTATCTTTGGCCTTGCTAACAATTTGCAATGTTATTAGATGGATATGAGTGCTTAGCTTAACCCTGGCCAGATATGCAATCCTGGCAACAGGGATGCATCGCAACAGGGCCACCACAGGCTGAATACCTGGCCCTGATCAGAGTAAAGCTCATAAAGGAGCAAGTACTAGCAAGAGCAACACAGAACTCAGACCAATTCAAAGGGAGAGGGAAACTACAGTTGATTATAGCAAAATAAACACTAGAGACTTACCCCAACTGTATGGTTCTGTGTCCATTGCATATTATCATACAGCTATATCACCACCTCTGTGCAGATTTATCCCTGGAAAGAAAAGAGAAGGCAAACATTAGCTATATACATATTCTTGTCATATGTGCAATAAAAACCGTTCAGGGGAAAATGGCATCTCATGCACACCAATATGAATGTAAACAAAGTTATATACAATCAGGGGTGCTGGAACAATTTTTATAGTGGGGGTGCTGAAAGTATAAACCAAGTATTTGGTTATTACTACTTCACACCAGGGGGTGCTCCTGCACCCCCAGCAGCCCAAGTTCCAGCACCCCGTATACATTCAGTTCCACATACAGTGGGCTACTGTCCTGAAACAGCCATCATAGTGCCATTCCCTCAGCCCCCTGGATTGAGTCTGAAATAATTTCTCAGAATGGCTGTTCAACAGCCTCTTCTGGCCCCACCCCCAATCTCAGTTAGGCATGATCCACAAAGTTCAGAGAAAACCCAGGTGAGGCATCATCTTGAAACAGTGGACCCTTTGAAAGGTTACATTATAACCACCCTGAGGTGAGGGTCAGTCCTATAGGTGGAACAGAACAAAGGAGGATACTAGTCCTCTCTTAGTGGCATCCAGAGTGCAACAGACAGTGCTTTTACACTGACAGAAGGAACACATGCTCACCATCATCAAACATCCATAGCCTACTAAGGACCTTTGTGCCAGCCACAGTGACCACAATTGATGGCATCACAGTAGGTGTCATGCCCACCCAGTTACTGATCATGAAAAACTACAAAGGCTCAAGGTGGCTCACCCACCTCAGCATCTGGACAGTCCTCTGCAGTAAAAAATGTTTTGTGAAAAGGAAGTAGTTGTGTGATCAAAAAGTCAGCAAAGTTCAGAGGTAGTAGTTCCTGACCAATGTCCAATAAGGGTCAAAATAATCCTCTCATCTGACAAACAGGTTCAGGTCATCTACCCTGGCCTCCATCCTAGACATCTCAATCTGTGTATTTTAATAGCCAGCTAGACTAGTTAGTTATTGGTTTTGGCTGAAAATGTTTTATTTGCATTTTTTTAAAAAGATATTTAGCCTTGTCATTTGACATGGTATCAACACTGGAGTAACGTAAGTGACTGGGGCCAGAGATTAAATTCAGTATATTACACTTTTTTATGGAGATGCCAGTCATGAGTTTTGCACATAAGGCAACCTCTTTTTTATGTAGGAAGAATACAATGTATCCTCCCCAAAATTAGAGAAGTTTCCTTTAATTAGAATTTAAGGACAAAAGAGAAATCAGGCATAATTTTTTTTTTTTTTAAACAGTGAGGGTGATTAGCAATTGGAACAAACTACCAAGGTCAGTGGTGGATTCTCGATCTCTTGATGTCTTCAAGACTGGATGTCTTTTTTGGAAAATATGCTTTAGTCAAACACAAGTTATTGGGGTAACTGGGTGAAATTTAATGGCCTGTGATATATGATCTAATGGTCTCTTCCAGCCGTGCACTCTATGAAAACTATGAATAGAGTATAGAATGAATTGTCTGAGAATTTACAAGTAATTCTTTATTAGTTTAAGAATTCACATTCATTCAAAATGGGTGCTTTAAGAAATTTTGCATTTGGTGCCAGGCCATTTCTTGTCCTAAAATTAATGATGGAATAAAACAAACAGTTTTCCAAGTTACCACGTAATTAAAACTCATTAAAATCTTGGGCACAGGTTACACTGGAAGAAAATTAGTAATTGTATCTCACTGCTATGATTATTTTGGAGACATCAGTGTAAGTTCATAATTAAGGTTGCCCCATAGTTTTCCTTTTAATTGGACTTTTGTAATCTTTTCTAGCTGTTCAGTCTTCAATCATTTTTGAAAAACATTTGGAAATATAAATCTTAGCAGGCTTGTATTTTCAAAAATACTTTTGGGTTCAAAAGTTACATAGTTTTTAAACTACAGCATTTTTTTTTTAATCCACATCTTTTCAGACAGCATGTCTCACCTTTTTGGGGGCACCCTTTTGGTTAAAAATCACAGCAAGCAGACTCCTCAAAATGTACATGCATTATTTAGTAAAATTCTTTGAGAACAATTTACCTTAAGATGGAGTTAAAGTTGAGAATACTTAGCAGTAATTTAGGGTAAATACAGGGATGTTGTAATTATCCCAAAACTAAGCATTATAAATCCAGGAAATTCAGAGTTAAGGTTAAACTTAAGAAAAATCCAAAGATGATAGGGTATAAAAATGCACACAGGACACCCAAGCAACCTTAACTCTGCCCTGTCAGAGACTCTTCAGAATTTCCTAATAATTGAAACTCATTGCATAGGCAATCTTTGAATACATAGTTTTTAAGATTAATGATAAATTTCCCCATTATTAGTCTTCATAACTAAAAATTTATCCTTAGCAAAAACCTTAACTCGGCCCTGTAGTGACACCATAGGAGGTTGGGGAGGGACAGAGGGAGAAGGGGGAGGGAGGAGTGCCTTTAAAAATCAGTTTAATCTAATGTTGGTCCACAAACTTTAAAATACCTCAATGGTAATTACATGTTTTTTGCATGGCTATACTCACCATGGTCACACTCATACAACCATGAACACCCCCACACCCACCCCCACAAAAAACAACAACCCACATACAAAACCCCCAGGACATCTCCTGGGTTTAAAAAAAATACAAAGCAATATACATACCAGAGAGCAGCACGATAGGAGCCTCACTGATATTATAATGAATCTTCCAGCCAAGAATAGATCAGTGATGAATCTGCCAAGGATGAACCTGCTTCTGCTATTCTGGATCCTGCTTGGGAGGCTACAGAGCAGCCATGTGGGGAAGGTCTGGGGTAGTTGGGAGGATGGTTGGAGACCTGAAGACTCCGTGACGGAGGCAGCTGTTTCTGGTGGCAGCTCAGGGTGACTGAGCTGAGAATTCTGGAGCTGCCTATGTGTAGCTGGGTCTCTCTCAGATCAAGAGTAAGAGGGCTCCCATGCATTGTGTCAATAAGCATATGGTATAAATAAACAGGTTACACCAGAACTGACTCCATTATATTAGTTTCTTTCCACCTCTTGCAAGGCCCTAGAATCAACCACTGTCAAGCCCATGGGCAACAATATATAAATATTCAGTAACGAGGTCAACCAGGAGCATGATAGCACATCAGGGTAACTGTGTGGCACAGTGTAAATCAATGACTTAAGTCTGAGAATTAAACCAAGGCTGCTAAATGGCCAGACTTCATCAGGAAGAGATAAAAAAGTGTTAAGCTTTTCAAAAATCTCTGTTTTTATAAACTGAGTCTTGAATCTGGCATACACTGACCATGGCTCAAAAACCTGCCCCTGTGAGTCCACAGATGTTTACAGTTGTGGTTTCTCTGAGCATATGCAGTAACGTGCGCACATCAAAGATTAGGATGTAACCCTACTAATTATGGAGGTGCTGGTCATAGCTCAATAGATATGGTGGCGCTGAGCCTTGCACTTAAAGCTGGGATTCAACATTTTGTATTATATATGAAGAATGCAGCATATCCTCCCCAAACTCACTGCACTTACTTGCTGGGTCTACTCTGCTTAATCTAACTTCTGCCTGTAAACCAGTAAATTTTGGGGTTCATCTTCTCCTTGATGTGCAGAACACAGAAAGGGAACCTTGCTCTGCTCTAAGCCTCTCTCTGGTGTAGGGTTGTTCATATTTGCCCTGCTTTATTTATCCAAACTGCAGCAGGCGTGCTATCATAGGCACGAGTCTGATTCTCCACAGTGTGGAGAGCCTGCAGAACAGACGATTGGCAGTAGTCAAAGTCCCATGAGCTATGGTCCATTCGAACAGATCTGTGCATAAGATCAACATTCCTAATAGGCTCCAATAGAGACTGGATCTTATTTCTGTGTCATAAAAAGAACAAGAAGGTACCAATCTTCATCTTTCGTTAACGTTCCTGTGAAAAGAACACTTTGTACCCGATAGTAACCTTATCACCTCCATGTGACCCAGGGCCCCTTGGAGCCAATTGGCGGAGAGCACACGAGGTGCACAGGGTTTATATGCACATTAGTTCACCAAAGGGTGGCATATAAGGACTCCACTGTGAGCCAGTAGCAGTCTGGTCATCATCATTGGGAAATGCCTGTACAGATAATTATTAAGAAGTGACGTATTTATACTGAAAAGTATGTTCTTAAAGACTTGGGATTAAGGCAGATCACCAGGAGGGGACATAGCTCAGAAATGTTCTTTTCAGGCAGGTCGTAACAGGTGCTTCTCTCCTAGTCCGATATGTGCCTTGTCTGCCTCACAGTGTACACCTATCTGCATACTGACCCCGACGCCATTTGAGAGATTGAGAAATCCACAAGAGAGGAAAGCCACAGGAAGAAACAATCAGTGGAGGTGAGGTCCTGTTTATGAATAAGGATAAAGGATTGTTCTGATATACCTAGTGGTGCCAATTAACACCCTGGACCCTTTACTGAGAAGGCAAGCTGACAGCATGTTATATCTCATGAAAGAGGGGTCACAGCCAGCCTGGCTGTAAAGCTTTGGTGAGCACTACTTTATTAGACAAGAGAGTCTCTTGTTAATTAAGTCTAGGCTCTAGAATGTGTTATAATTTTATACATAACCATTTATTTCCAATACTTCTACTTGCTATGACTTTGAATTGCTGTATTTTATTAAACCTATTCCTAATTTCACTATAAACATATCTAAGCACCCTGTGTTAAGGGGAGCAGTGATTTGAGGTGTAACTGGCAAGTTGGGGCTGTATTGTTTCTTACTTGGAAGCAGCAGATCTGTGAATACTGTGAACATCCAGTGGACCAGGGGCTGGACACTCCAGTGGGACTCTCAGAGAGCTCAGGGTTTGGAGCGTGCCTTTCACTAACCTGTAGAGAGACAAAAAAGCCTACGCAGGCTCAAATGGAAGTGCTTGTGTTGCCCTTGGCTGGTGGAGTAGGTAAGCTAACTCATGGCAGCCGGACAAGGCTTCCTCATGCTAAGATCAGGTGGTAGTGAGGTGCTTCACAACCCTAGATATCCCCAGGAAGTGTCACACCCCACCACACACACCCCTGGTCTCTGATTGTCTTCCCTGGCTCTGTATGGCTTCTGTGTTTATCATGAATCTGGGAAGGTCAAAAAACTGTATCTTAGTGCCTGCTTACTTCAGCTTTCTCGCTGCACAAAGCTCTGGTTAGCAGAATTATCCAGATAGGAATGAATTCCCTTCTTGCTGAAAGCTATTATTAATTCCCAAACAAAACAATATTAAGACTGAGTTAAGGCTAGAAGTCAGATCAGTAACTTAGGTAAAATACATTACATAGATGATGTAATTATTTCAAAAACAAACATTATAAACTCAAGTTAATTTCATTTAGATATCCATAACAATAAGATACCTACATAAGGTTCTAGACACATAACCATAATACAATAAAATCACAGTTTAAAATCAATCCAAATATTTTAAGGTATGCAAATGGACAGTTACAGCAGCCAAACAACCTTAACTCTGACCCATAGTGACACTGTGCAATATCAGATTACAATTAAAGCATTTGAGTCTTTGTGGATGTAAGATTGAGAGAGAGAGAGAGACAGTATTTTTATATATATATATATATAAATAAATAAAATTATACACATAACATTTCTATACCTTAACATATTTGGATTTCTTCTAAGTGTAACATTCACTTTTTATCTGCTGGCTTTATAATGCTAGTTTCTGATATAATTACAACATCCACATTAGGGAAGTTGTGGAACTGCCATCACTGGAGGTTTTTAAGAACAGGTTAGACAAACACCTGTCAGAAATGGTCAAGTTATTATTTAGTACTTCCTTGAGTGTAGAGGACTGGACTAGATGACCTATTGAGGTCCCTTCCAATCCTACACTTCTATGATCCCTAAAATGTATTTTACCCAGATTACCGATAGATACTCTCAACTTTATCTCCACCCTAATGTAGGTTTTGTCTGGGAATATACTTTTTTTTTTTTAATTAAAAATGTCATACATGAACATACTGAACAAGAACTACAGAGAATTGTACCAGGATATCTCTAATGACTGGAAGATTAATAATACCAGCCTTAAATAATTTTTTTTGAATTTTAACTTTTAGGACCAGATTCATTGGTACACTATCGTTGCTTTTTGCCACTCTGAAGCAACACAAAGAAGCCAGAGTGTATTGGCCAATTAGACCAGGTTATAAGCTGCTTTGCGTCACCAGAACACCACAGAGCAGCCAGAGAACACAGCTGGCCTCCACGTTCCCCTGCACAAATACACCACAATTTCCACTTCTCCTGTTCTCTGCTCTCCCTTGCATGCACAGAGCACAATTTATCTCTCCCTCGATTTGCAACTCCCATTTGCACCCCCTACATTCTTCTCAAAATACATGCTGTAATTTGGGGGAAGATATGCTGTATTTTTCATGGATAAGTGCAAAATTCACCTCAACCTTAACAATGGAACTGTGACCAGTGCGCCTCCATAATACTAACACAATCCTGGAAAAGAGGCTGGGAGCACAGGCCAGGCAGTATGGTAACTATTAGATTTGAAATAGCTGCCATCCATTTGCCAATCAGAGGACTGCTCTGTGGGATGGTAGAATGGGAATGTGAAGATAAGCCTTTTTCAGGACTATGGAATGCAGAAAGCTTCTCTGTGATTGTCTGCATGGGTTTGAGAATCTTTATCTATACCTTGGCTCCTTTTAAGACTTGTTCCATTATTTCAACAAAAAGCTCTCTTCCACATATGCTTGAACCTGTTCCCTAGTCCTCCCTCAACCAAAATCCTGAGCAAAAATCCTTAAAGTTAGGGGTCATCAAACTCAGGCTCCTACAGATCAACAGAAGTGAATTCTACAGTTAATGACAGGTTTCAGAGGAACAGCCGTGTTAGTCTGTATTCGCAAAAAGAAAAGGAGTACGTGTGGCACCTTAGAGACTAACCAATTTATTTGAGCATGAGCTTTCGTGAGCTACAGCTCACTTCACAGTTAATGACTCTCTGAGGATCATCAGAATTCCCTGATGTTTACATTTCAGGACTGTTAGCTTGAGTGCTTCAGCAGATCTCAGCGGCTACAGTAAGGCTTGGTGAGAGGCATCTTTCATATAGCCAGAACCCCAATAATAGAATCATAGAAATACAGGACTGGAAAGTTAGTCTAGGCCCCTGAACTCATGGAAGAACTAAGTATTATCTAGATCAGGGGTTCTCAAACTGGGGGTCGAGACCCCTCATGGGGTTGTGAGGTTATTACATGGGGGGTCGTGAGCTGTCAGCCTCCATACCAAAGCCTGCTTTGCCTCCAGCATTTATAATGGTGTTAAATTTTTCAAAAAAGTGTTTTTAACGTATAAGGGGGGGGTCGCACTCAGAGGCTTGCTGAAAGGCGTCACCAGTACAGAAGTCTGAGAACCCCGATCTAGATCATCACTGACAGGTGTTTGTCTAACCTGCACTTAAAAACCTGCAATGATGGCGATTCAACAACCTCCCAGTAATTTGTTCCAGTGCTTAGCCACCCTGACAGTTAAAAAGCTTTACCTTATGTCTAACCTAAATCTCCCTTGCTACAGCTTAAACCCAATACTTCTTGTCCTGTCTTCAGTGGATAAGAACACTTTATCACCCTCCTCTTTATAACCACCTTTTATGTACTTGAAGTCTGTTATGTCCTCCCTCAGTCTTCTCCTCTTCAGACTAAACAAACCCAATTTTTCCTATATTTCCTCTAGACCTTTTAATCATTTTTGTTGCTCTCCACTAGTCTTTCCCCAATTTGTCCACATCTTTTCCAAAGTGTGGTGCCCAGACTGGACAAAGTACTCCAGTGCTGAGTAGAGTGGAAGAATTACTTCTCACATCTTGCTTCTAACACTCCTCCTAATAAATCCCAGAATGATGTTTTGGGTTTTTTTGGTATTGTTGGCTTTTATTTAGTTTGTGATCCACTATAACCCCCAGATCCTTTTCTGCAGTATTCCTCCCTAGGCACTCATTTTCCATATTGTATTTGTGCAGTGGATTATTGCTTCTGAAGTGGATTACTTCACACTTGTCCTTATTGAATTTCATCCTATTTACTTCAGATCATTTCTCGTTTGTCCAGATCATTTTGAATTCTAATCCTGTCCTCCAAAGCACTTGCAACCCCTCCCAGCTTGGTATTGTCTGCAAACTTTATAAGTGTGCTCTCTGTGCCATTATTCAAATCATTGATAAAGACGTTGAACGGAACCAGACTCAAGACAGATCCCTGTGGGACCCCACTCAATACGCCTTTCCAACTTGGCTGTGAACCATTGATAATTACTCTCTCTGAGTATGGTTTTCCAATCAGTTGTGCACGCACTGTATAGCAGGTTCATCTAGGCCAGAGGTCTCAAACTCAAATGACCACAAGGGCCACATGAGGACTAGTGCATTGGCCCGAGGGCTGCATCACTGACACCCCCTCCTCGCTGCCCCGGCCCTGCCCCCACTCCACCCATTCCATTAGGTCCCGCCCCTGCCCACCCTTTCCCCCTTCCCCATTCCCAGCCAATGGGAGCTGCGGAGGGCGGTGCCTGGAAGCAACTCACAGAGCCCTCTGCACCCTGCCCCCACCAGGGACCGTGCCGGGAGCAGCGCGGGGCTCGTGACACCCGGGGGGCAATCTCAGCCTGCAGGCTGTAGTTTGCCCACCACTGGTCCGGAGGTAGGTGAGGCGGGGGGCACGGGGAGCTTGGCGGGCCGCAGGAAATAGCCCAGCAGGCTGCGTGTTTGAGACCCCTGTTCTAGGCTGTATTTACCTAGTTTGCTTATGAGAAGGGCACGTGAGACAATACCAAAAGCTGTATTAAAGTCCAGATATCACATTTACTGCTTCTCCCCTATCCACAAGGCTTGTTACCTTGTCAAAGACATATATTAGGTTGCTTTGACGTGGATTTGTTCTTGACAAATCCATGTTAACTGTTACTTATCACTTTATTATCTTCTAGGTTGGGGTGGGCAAACTGCAGCCCACCAGCCGTTTTAAGCCGGCCCTCAAGCTCCCGCTGGGGAGCTGGGTCTGGGTCTTGCCCCGCTCCAGCGCTTCAGCACTCCAGCTGGGAAGCAGGGTTGGGGGTCACTCCACGCGGAAGCAGCTGCATGGCCCCACTCCAGCCAGGGAGCAGGGTCAGGGGCCGCTCCACGTGGCTCCTGGAAGCAGCGGCATGGCCCCCCTCTGGTTCCTACACGCTCCAATGGCCCCCTCTAGCACTCCAACAGAGAAGGGACATGCCGCTGCTTCTGGGAGCCGTTTGAGGTAAGCGCCGCCCAAAGCCTGCACTCATGAGCCTCTCCCCAACCCCGATCCCCGTCCTCTGAACCTCTCAATCCCAGCCCAGAACACCCTCCTATATCCCAAACACCTCATCCCCCCCCCCCCCCCCCCCCCCCCCAGAGCCCGCAACCCCAGCTAGAGCCCTCACCCTCCCCCGGACCCCACTCCCCTCCCACACCCTGAACTCCTCATGTCTGGCCCCAACCAGAGCTCTCCCCCCCTCCTGCACCCCAACCCCAATTTTGTGAGTATTCATGGCCCGCCATACTATTTCCATACCCAGATGTGGCTCTTGGGCCAAAAAGTTTGTAAGCACCTAGAACAGGGGTGGGCAAATTGATTGTGTAATTATTTGCTCCATTATCTTTCCAGGTACAAAAATTAAGCTGACTGGACTATAATTCCCTATTTTTAATCACAGGGTACGACTATATTTGCCTTTTCCCAGGCCTCTAGAATCTCTCCAGTCCACCCCACATTCTCAAAGATAATCACTAATGGCTCAGAGATTTCTTCAGCCAGTTTCTTAGTATTCTAAGATGTATTTCATCAGGCCCTGCAGACTTGAAGACATCTAACTTGTCTAAGTAATTCTTAAATTGTTCTTTTTCGACTATAGCCTCAGATTCTACCCCATTTACTCTGATGTTCACTGTGCTAGTCATCCAATCACTGCTAACCTTTCTGGTGAAAACTGAAACAAAAAATATTGGGCTTTATAGATCAAAGTCAACACCTTCAATTGCATCTGGAAGCCAGGGCAGTGGACAAAGTAATTGGCAAAAGTAACCTCTCCCCAGTTAACGCTGCCAAGCAAGTGGACACCATGTTGCTTTGCTAACTGGAGATTCCAAGGGCTTATGGAAGATAGTTATATGGAAGCTCAAACCTATTTCTGTTCACAAAATGTATTGCCAGGCCCCTGTCTTCAACACCACACGTAGATGATAAACCCAGGTGTATAAGACTGCTGATTAAGTGTTTTTTACCCACCATTGGCCAGGTCATGACGCTAATGGAGGTGGGAGTCTGTAGTGTTCCATGGATGACAGCAATTTAAAATGACAATGGGTTTTTAAATCCCCCTGCTGCCTCGTCTCAAATGACTAGGAGCCTTTAATAAATGCATTAAGACTCACCATTTTAAAGGACATTATCAATTATATTTAAGCCTCAGATCATGCTTTCTGCTTATTCATACACAATAACTTAGAAAAAGCCTTCAACATTCAGTTTGATAAGAACCAAATTTACTATATTCTATTCTGCGGCAGTGACTCTCAACCTTTCCAGGGTACTATACCCCTTGCAGGAGTCTGATTCAACTTGTGTATCCCAAGTTTCACCTCACTTAAAACAACTTGCTTACAAAATCAGATGTAAGAATACAAGAAGTGTTACAGCACACTATTACTGAAAGAATTGCTTACTTTCTCTTTTTACCCTATAATTATAAAATAAATCAATCTGAATATAAATCTTGTACTTACATTTCCGTGTATAGTATATAGAGCAATATAAACAAGTCACTGTCTGTATGAAATTTTAGTTTGTACTGATTTCACTAGTGCTTTTTATGTAGCCTGTTGTAAAACTAGGCAACTATCTAGCTGAGTTGATGTACCCCCTGGAAGACCTCTGTGTACACCCAGGGGTACAAGTACCCCTTAATCACTCAGAACAACAATGAGCAACATTTGATCAAAAAACTAATTGCAGCAACATACAAATGCACTACTGGGCTATGGCTCCTAAAGAAATTCCTATACTGAAGAAATGGCTAAACAAAATGGAAGAAATATAGAATCCAGAACAAATCTCAACTTGAATCTGACAATCTTACAACTGTCTGAAGGACACACAGGCCCTAGGACCGGGGGCGGGGCGCAAACTACAGCCCCCGGACCACATCTGGCCCTCCAGACGTTTTAATCCGGCCCTTGAATTCCCACAGAGGAGCGGGGTTGGGGGCTTGCCCCACTTGGCTCCCAGAAGCGGCAGCATGTGTCCCCTGTCCGGCTCCTACACATGGGGACAGCCAGGGGGCTCCGCACGCTGCTCCCACCCCAATCATGGCCCCCACAGCTCCCATTGGCTGGGAACCGTGGCTAATGGGAGTTGCAGGGGCAGCGCCTGTGGATGGGGCAGCATGCAGCAGATCCTCCTGACCGCGCCTACACATAGGAGCTGGAGGGGAGACATGCTGCTGCTTCTGGGAGCTGCTTGAGGTAAGCGCCACCCAGAGCCTGCACCCCTGACCCCCTCCTGCACCCCAACCCCTTGCCCCAACCCCGATCCCCCTCCCGCCCTCCAAACCCCTCAATCCCAGCCCGGAATACCTTCATGTTCCCCCAAACCCCTCATCCCCAACCCCACCCCAGAGCCTGCACCCCCAGCTGGAGTCCTCACCTGCTCCCGCACCCCAACCCCTAATTTTGTGAGCATTCATAGCCCGCCATACAATTTCCATATCCAGATGTGCCTCTTGGGCCAAAAAGTTTGCCCACCCTTGCTCTAGGAGATCCATTACTCTTCACTCAATAGAACTATGAACAAACAATTTATATTCTGTACTAAATCACAAATTTAAGCTCCAACATTCCCAGGAACCACCTCGGTAAGGAAAATCACACACCATTTTCTTGGATAACTATTTACTATGTGCCTGCATTCAAAAATATTCACTAAAAGACCACTGCTTATCATGCTGACTAATGCTGTGTTATTGTTTACTTGTATTCCCTTGTCTGTCGGTATCCATCTGTTGTCTCTTGTCTTACACTTAGATTATAAATCCATCTTTTTGTACTGTGTTTGTATAGCTAGTAGCACAATGGGGTCCTGGTCCAAGAAAAAACAACAACATGTTAATTCATTCGGAGTTAATTTACAGGTGGCTTATATCTCCCTGAAAAAGAAAGTTCTTATTGGAAGTTCTTAGCTCTTATGTAACTTTATGGTCAGAGAAATGACTTAATACAAATTATCCTTTTTTCAAAAATAACTTTGTATTTCAAAGTTTTATTTACAAATAGATACACAATCATCAACTCTGCAGTTACAGGTACATGGGAAAATATAAAACTTTACAGGTGAATGTTATTCACAGCTAGTCATGTAAATTCGAAGTCCAAAGTTACTACCTGTAGCTATTGGTTGGCACAGCACTAAAGGCATGTCTGGAATAACGTTATGTGTAACAGATTTAGAGTACAGGCTAAATGATTATCAGTTAGCACATTAGCAGCAATACAATGCATCTCCATATATCTTTAGTGAGCCTTTTTTCTAACAATTTATATTGTACTTGTCACTGTAGTATCTGTGATTTAACAAAATTATTACAATCAAAATATAGTAGATTCTTTTAAATAGGTATAGATTGATCTGTAAAACTCACTAAAAGCGTCACTTTTTTCCCCTTGCTTATTTAAAAAAAAACAAACAAAAAAAAAAACACAGGTCAGGTAAGTTAGAAGCCTTTAAAGGGTCAAATTAATCCCTTGGATGCATGTACCTATCTCCCCTTGAAGGCAATGGGAGCTGCACACATCCACTAGGGTTCACAATTTGGCCCTAATTAAGCAAGTCTTGCAACACCCACCTGAAAGAAGTAAGTAGGTTTTGCAGAAGAGGAAAACGAAGCACAGAGAGGTACAGAAGGTTTTGCCAAAGGTCACACAAAATCAGCAGAGAGCTAGGAAGAGAATTCAGATGTCCTGACTCCCAGGCCTATATGTTAATTGCTAGAGTCATGCGGCTGAGTTGGTGGAGAGATTGAGGGATCGATTAGAAAAGAGAAGCACGGGGATTAGGAAGTTAAATTTTGGAAGAAAGAAAGATAGAAAGCAAGCACAGGGAAAGGAGAGAACTAAATAAAAAAAGAAACTACACTGGAAACAACAGAGGAGAAAATACAGGGAGATCTACCTTAGAAGAGGGGGAAAAAAATGGAGTGAAGCAAAATAATGTATAAATAAAACAAGGGATATACATTGTAGTAAGTGATATTTTTCACAATGTATTAAATAGAAAGCTAATTGCCAAAATATGACCAATAAATAACCAAACACAGTATGTATGTATTATAGATACATTTACCATTGT